ACTTAAGCGTTGGAGAACCTTCAGAAGAAAAGCTCCCTTTCAGTCCACCCAGAAGTTCGGCTCACTCATTCGTCCATGTTCGTAGGATCCATCTGACTTTTACCCCGGAGCTGCATGCCACTCATCTCTAAGAGAACGAAATCTGAGGATATAACTCCTTATATCCGGATAAATATATACTATACCCATACATATTCCATAATTTATGTCCGAACAATATTTAAACTACAATATAAAGTAATTTAATATATTTTTTCCGATAAAGCTTTTTCAATGGAGTGATTTACCAAAAAGGTAACTTTGGAAATTTGGATTGTAATATAAGTCACTTACAGGAACTCAGTAAATCAGAGGACGTGTAAAAATGTTTTTATCCTTAGAACAGTTTTCCGTAAAGCCGAAGGGGTATTAACAAGTTGATTTTGTCAGTGTGATTTATTTTTGGGGTTATGTTTTTATAGACACCATAATAGGCGAGAAGCTGTAAGTTTTGGATTTAGGTTTTCCGATCTAGTCCTGGATTCCATTTTGCGTCTTTCCAATTCAAAGAGCATTAAGTTTGTTGTTTGAGTGAGAGGGGTTGTACTGGATCAGTGTGAATTCCTATTTAATCGGCGGCATTTTTGCGTAGTAGTGCTTCGCGATGGAAGGTAAGTGAACCTTCATGATTTTTGTATCATTTTACCGGTGTTTGGTTGGTTTTCCTCCGATTTATACAATGTTTTATGGTAAAATTGGTGGGGTGGGTAGTGGTAGGTTTAATCGGACTTCGTTTTGAATAGGCGTGAACGCATACGTAGTTATTAATTTTGTGTTTCTGTTGGCGCTTGTCCAGTGTATTAAATTTAGTTCTGGGATGGTTCATGGATGAGTGGTAGTGGACAAGTAGTTTGTTGAGTTTAGTGGGCAGTGAATATTTAGATTGATAGGGCTATTGGATGGAGCAAGTAATATTTTTAAAAATATAAAGTTCCATGCATGTTAATCATTAAGGTATTCAGTTTCTGGTGTATATGGTGGACAAAACATATTTGTTCGAGTTTGGTTTGTTATGCGTGGATAGTCTATGCATTGGCAAGCCACTAGAATATTGGTTGACTATGGATGATTATTGGTAGATAATGGGTTGTTGTTATGTAATGTAAATGGGTGTTGTTTATGGCATTTATAAAAATATAAATGTCTATGTGGGTGGACATAATGGACAAAGCATCGACAAACGATTGACTACATTTTTGGATGTTAATGAATGAGTAGTAGTGGATAAGTTACTTTTGTTCTGTAATTGTGGTTGGTAGCGTAAAGTCTGTTCGTAAAATATGAGTGTCTATGTGTATTAATTTAGTATGTTACAGGTGGACATGGTGAACTATGCATCCATATATATGTTTGGTTAGTAAGTCGTGGACGATATCTATGGACGGCGATTAGTGCATGTTTGTACAATGTTTATGTTGTTTTGTGGTTAACGTTTTTGGTTGGTGTTATTGGTATTATGAGTTATGTATTCATTACGGCTTTGATTGTAAGGTAATGAGCCCAGCGTTGTGAGGAACCCACAGTTACCAAGCCGCTTGTTCATGACAGACCGACACCCAAACACAAGGCTTAAACTCTAAACTGGATACGCTACTGGTGTTAAACGACATACTAGAAGACTCCCCCGAGTTCAAGAGGATTAGGAAAAACTGTTACAGGAAGCTATACGATTTGGCGGCAAATATGTGTTCGAACTCAGGCAAAATCCGGCGTTGGCGAGGCAGCTGATAAACAAGAGGAAGTATGAGCTATATGCAGTGTTTGGTGGACAGCCTATGAGATTTTCTCTTGTGGAGTTTGGTGAAATAACTGGATTGCCTTATGGCAAGTACCGAGAATGGTATGACCCTGATTATGAGCCTTCAGAGGAGAATCACCCTGACGATGATTGGCGTGAGATAATTGGGGATGATGGGGCAACTACAATCGGGGACATAACCTCCATGCTACGATCTGATGTGGAAATGGACTGTGAGAGGAGGCTACGGCTGGCTCTTCTAGACGATCCATAATTTCTGTCCACAGAAGCATGTACATGGAGAGCATTCCCTGGAATCCCGCGTTCACGAAGAGTTGTCCATGGCGGCTGTCCACGTGAGAGATTCCATTAACGGTGTCCACGATGGGACAATCATGACGCGTGTCCATAGACGTGTGTCCACGTAACTCTACGGTCTATGGATTAATATGTGATGGATAGTGTGAGGCGTGTAGTGTCTCCGCCATCTTTGCAATGCATTTCGGACCAGCTACGACATCATCCTCGCACATTATTTCCACGGCATCTGACCCCCTTAGTGGATTGTTAAGTAGGGGTTCTCAGAACTGCTGGTCGTAGCCGGCCTCTCGAACCTCGATATCTTCAGGCGGTGAGCGACAGCCTCCTACGGTGTCTGTAGTATCGAAATCCTGGCTAAGACAACTCTTATCTGGGAAACGACAATTCCTAAAGTTCTCCTCAATACTCTCCACATGACTTAGGATTTCATCGTCGTCATTTGGGAGATGGCCAGTCTTAGATCCAACAGATGACCATATCCCGCATAGTCGTCAATGCCTTGAGACGTGCCTCCGTTGTCAAATATCCCTTTTTGCTTGACACCTACCACTGGCATTGTGGACCCAATGGAGTTTTCTATCGCCGATGTATGATGCCCGGTGGTTGAGACTGATTCCTTTGAAAAACTGACGAACATATTCATGGTGCTGTTTATATGGATATGTCTGGAAAAAAAAGAGAGCGCTCCAGCATTGGTGACCAGGACCAGCGGTGTAGTCAAGCTAATAGCGAGTTATTTGCTGTTAGGTGGCCATTAACTAAGCATGGCATGCAACTCCCCGTTGACTGGTCTGTGGAACTCAACAGTTATAAGAGATTTGAGCTCCGCCAGGTCAATTTCTTCCTGCATAGCAACAACCCTTGACATCTTCTTCTTGTCGATGACGAATTCCCACTTCCCTTCTGAAGAAGAACGCCATTTCCGGACAATACTAAGCAAGTGATCCTCCATTTGGATGGAGGGGGCAACTGCAGGGACTGGTTTCCGTAGGTGGACTTTAGTTGTAAACTTTGAGTTGGAATGAAAGATTTTCCCTCCAATGCTGAACTTTTAGATGATTTCGAATGTTGACAGCGACAGATGGGTGCCTACCACGGCTTACGATGGGCATTATATTGATTATTCTGCAGTCACTATTTAAAGTAGCTTTAAACTACCTACTAAAATGTCTTAAATGTGTAAATGACATTGATAAACACGAATCAACACAACTGCCTGTCTGCCGAGGATAACCCTTCGTCCACAGTTGGGGCCCGAGTGGATTTACACTAATGGTCCACGAAACAGACATAGTACACATATTAGTTTGTCCACATATTGTCGTTATACTATTAGGTATGCGGATGATCGACGTAGTCAGCCGTCCACAGTGACCATCCACCTAAAACTCCTTTTATGGACAAAGTTCTTCAAATATAGATTTACATCGATAAACGCGAATCAACACAACTGCCTGTCCACCGAAAATAGCTTTTCGTCTATAATTAAGGTCCGAGTGAATATATACTGACGGTCCACGGAACAGACAGAATACACATATTAGTTTATCTACATATTATCGTTATACTAGGTATGCACATGACTGGATAGCCACCATAATAGTATTATTTGTCAACAGTAAGCCGTTTATAGTGACTATCCATGTGAAATCCTTTTATGAACATAGCTTCAAATATGGATGGGCGCCGTCCACTCTCAAAGAGTGACATTATACTGCATGTGTAAAAAATCTCTTTTTGATGATATTGCCACAGGTCTGGACAGAGTGCTCCGTCAATGATATTGTTTATAGATAAACGTTCAGTGGACATATCGATTTTGAAATACCGTCTGTTTCCACATGTTTATAGTTTGTTTCTGAGAGATAAACACCTACGTACTGTCTATCAAAAACACCATTAATACAATAGTCATTGTAGGACTCGGACGAAGAAATGACAATTGCGCAACAATGGTTAGTCCGATAGTGAATAGAAATAGTTAGCAAGGCTGCAAAAACAGCAAGGGATGAAGGATCTCTTACTCATCTGTCCCAAATTTCTATGGATTTCAATGGTCATTTCTTAGTTTTGGAAAACCTCCAATAGCCAAATAATTTCTTAACCTCCGTTAAATAACAATAAAACGAACATAAACCACAGATTCGAATTAGATCATAAGGAAAACTGTGAAAATTAAATGAAAGATATATGAGAAAATAAATAGTTAGGGCAAAATGAATTTTACTTTGAAAGTGACTTATTTTAGAAATAAATTTTGAAAAAATGACTTATAGAGTAATTTTCTCTTTTGATATAAGAAAGAAATTTTGAAAAAATGACAGAGTAATTTTCTCCTTTGATATAAGAAGATTTGTAATTTAAATAATATTAAATTACTCTATATTATAATTTAGATATATTAAATTTGAAAACAAACAAAATATAAAAATATTATAAAATAACTAAAATAAAAACTAAAAAGTTTTTAATAATAAGTTTTCAAAAAAACATATTTAATAAAAATAATTAAAAAATAAAAAAATCTAACATTTAAATAAAATATGATATATGACGGGCAAAATAACTGGTCCTACTTTCGATTCTGAAAGTTTTGGTTTTACCATAACTTTATTTTACCATTGCATGCATTATGATTATTAAACATAGGCTCCTTAACATTCACCAAGTACTAAGAAACTAACTAAATGAAGTAACAAATAATTTTTACAAACAGAAAAGAGAAAAAAAAACACAAAAGCTCCAAAAACAGAAAACAAAACTGCAAAAAATGTACACTTCCAAGCTCTAAGTAAAGATCATAGATCTCGAACTGGCTTAGTGTAAGTAACTATACATTCTCTCACCATGTCAATCTAACGGTAGATATTCGATCCTGCATCAATAATCCAACGGCCAAAACTCACCGTCCAAGACAAAGTGCAGCGTTAACATCAAGCCGCCACGCAAAGCCACCGTCAATCATCCTCCAAACGTCACAAGGCGAAGTAATCGAACTCACTTCATTATTACAACACGTGTACTGCAATCTCATTCTACAGGTGAACGTCCGTTGCGTTAGCAAAGGCTTCTCCTTCATCACAAGCCACACACTCATCTTCCTTATACACTTCTCCTCTTTCCCAATCACTAACTCTCTGTACGAACGATTCGTCCAAATGACTCTCCCTGAACGGTCCGATATGAAACCAGGACACATGTCTCTCTCCAGATTCATCTTCCTCTCCTCGTCCGTACACCCAATCTCGTACTCCCCCTCCGTTACGCACTCTACCGTCAACAATGACGACACAACGGTTTCCGTTCTCTCCGTTATTACTTCAGCCGTCAGATCTGAATCCTTCATCGCCTTTTGATAACGTCCGTTATCTCCGAAGCTCAGCCACAACGAAGCCGGAGATGAAACCCTAGCCTGCGACGGCGGAGAAACCTTCCTCTCAGGAGCTTCCGGTAGAAGAGGCAACGTCACTATCTCAGATCCGTTCTTAGGCTCTTCCTTTCTCCGCCGTTTACTGTTACCGTTACTGTTAATAGATCCGCCACTGCTGCTACTATTCTCTTTTAAATATTTTCTCTTACCTCTCCGGGTTTTAGGTGAAACTGTATCCACCGGCGACGAAGAAGATCCACCGGAATCTGGTCTCGGAGCAATCGGACGGTACCGGAGCATAATCCGATCCACCTTCGTCATATCATATTCCCCGCCGCCACCACCACCACCATCGCCGCCTCCTCCGTATCTCGCTATGCAACAACCTCCCCGGAAATTCATTTATAAATCTAGTTTGAATTTTCTGTTTTCTAACAAACGGAGATTGATGAAATAAACGAAGCGTGACGGTACAAATATAAAGAGAAACTGTTACGTCGACACGTTTGGAGAAACCGCCACGTGCGAGACCAAACGGGTGAACAGCGCAACGACGTGATTGGACGAAAGAAGAGAGACGTGGCGTTTAAGCGGTTGAAACTTTGGGTCCCACAAGAGACTCGCGGTACGAGGGAGTGAGGACCAATCGGTGATCGAGGAGTGGCTATAAGCTGCGGTGCGATTAAAGGTAAGAGACACATAAGGCTGCGACTTTCGAGTTTACGTGTAACCTAACGCGAGATTGTGATACAAGATGATGGGACACATGGCCCAATCTTGTTTACTCGTTTGTAGGTTCAAAAGTTTTTAATTTTTTTTGTTTATTTTAAAGTTTAGTTTCTATTATTAGCATGTAGGATAGGGGAGATTGTGACACGTGTAAAAGATTGACGACACGAATCTTTTGGATGTGGGATATTCATATTTATTTCCAAAAATAAAGATACTTTGGACACATATATAATTGGTGTAAAATCAAATACATTATAAAAATATCATCTAAATTTATAAAGTATCTTTAATCTATTATTGTAAATATATTAATTTTAGAGCAATATCCTTATTTATACTAAAAATAAATTTTTATAAAAAATTTAATAGGAAAGGTAAGATTTTTTTATTCTCTAATATTTTCATTTAATTTTTTTGATTTTTATAATAAATTTAGTTTAATTTCTATTATTAGCATGTAGGATAGGGAAGATTGTGACACGTGTAAGGGATTGGCGACACGAATCTCTTTTGGATGTGGGATACTCGCATTTATTTTCAAAAATAAAGATACTTTGGGCATGCATATAATTGGTGTAAAAACAAATACATTATAGAAATATCATCTAAATTTACAAAGTATCTTTAATCTATTATTGTAAATATATTAATTTTAGGGCAATATTCTTATTTACATTAAAAATAAATTTTTATAACAAATTTAATAGGGAAGATAAGATTTTTCTATTCTCTAATATTTTCATTTAATCTTTTCGATTTTGTCATTTAGGAAAATCTTCCTGAATCTTTTTTTTGTTATGTTTCATAATATTTTAGAAAGATTTTTCCAAATAATAAAACTCAACATCATTTCATATAAATTAAGAAATTTTTTCTAATTTTTTAAGAAAATCTTGAAATGTAAATGAGCTTCTTGAATTATGGAAGAGCTTACTAAATTGTGGAAGGATTATCTCAATTTGAATTGTTATATAAATTAATAAAAAATTAATTATATGATTTACGAAAGTTTTTCTAAATACATATAATAACTTTCTTAATTTATACATTTTAGGAAAATCTTTCTAAAAGTTTAGAATATCTTTCTAAATTTACTTTCATCTCTTTCCTCACCTGTGCGACACCCAAACCCTAATTTCCGCAGATTTTTTGTTTCCACCATTATTGTAGTTTTAGCTCTGATTTTTTAAGTTTTTCACTCAATTATATCATATCTATCCAGGATTCTTGCAAAAATGACCTAAAATTTAATTTTAATTGCAAATCTAACCCACAAAAATCACCTTCCCAACATTTGCCATTTTGTGTCCAAACAATCCTTCATAGTTTCAGTTATTCACGAAATTGCCATTATTTTTAATTAATTTCTTTTATTTTTGGAAATCTAAATGACCAACTAATCCTCATCTTCCTCATTTATTTACGAAAATGCTCCGAAAGTAGACTTCTCTTGGTCTGAATGAAGTCTACTAGTCAACGCCCATGTTAGTTTTGCAATTGACCGCATGAAAAAGTAGACTTCTTTTTGTCCAAATGAAGTCTACTCCATTTCCTTTGATAACAAAAAAAATAGAGTAGACTTCTCGAGTAGACTTCTTTAGAAGCAGGTCATTTTTGCCATTGACCAACCTTTGACTTTGTAGAGTAGACTTCTCTATACAAAGTAGACTTCTCCGAGAAGTCTACTTTCGTAAGTAGACTTCTCACAGGTCATTTTTGCAATTGAAAAATATTTGACTTTTTGGTCAATTGCAAAAATGACCTGCGAGAAGTCTACTTACAGAAGTAGACTTCTCGGAGAAGTCTACTTTTCGGAGTAGACTTCTCGGAGAAGTCTACTTTCACAAGTAGACTTCTCGCAGGTCATTTTTGCAATTGACCAAAAAGTCAAATATTTTTCAATTGCAAAAATGACCTGCGAGAAGTCTACTTTCGTAAGTAGACTTCTCGCAGGTCATTTTTGCAATTGACCAAAAGTAGACTTCTCGGAGAAGTCTACTTTTCATAGAGAAGTCTACTAATATTTTGGCAATTGCAAAACTAACCTGCGAGAATTCTACTTTTATCCGAGAAGTCTACTTTTCTTGTTTTTAAAAAAAAATCATTTTTATACAATATATAACGAATTTTTAAGATTTTCGCGATCCTAAGCTTCTGTTATTAAGTTTTCTTGCTAATGTATAAGTTTTGCATGTTTATATTTTATAGGTATAGTCGAATGAATTTTCATGTTTTATATGATATTTAGCTTATTAAGAATAGACTTCTTAGTCTACTCTAGAAGTCTACTATGTAGACTTCATCCGACTTTCAGAGAAGTCTACTTATGCAATTTTGATGTCTAATGTGGTTTGGATTTTGTTCTTTTTCACAGAGAATGGCTCACATACCCGCTGTTTATGGAGAATGGGTTAAGAGTGAATCAGTGTGGCAGTTCGAGGTGGATAATAGCAAAGGAGGGCAAATGTTGTTCTTAAGAGATGGTTGCACACATGGTGAGCTTCTTGGTGAATGTTGGCAAAGGAGGGCGAATAGCAAAGGAGGGCGAATGTTGTCACCTTTAAGTTATGTAAAATTAATGTCTTTAAGAAGTCTACTCGAGACAATGAGAAGTCTACTTCAGAAGTCAACTCGAGACAAGAGAAGTCTACTCGATTGACAAGTTATATGATATAAATGAGAGAAATGTCCCTCTGAATCACTTTTAAGTTATGTAAAATTAATGTTTTTTAGAAGTCTACTCGAGACATGAGAAGTCTACTCGAGACAGGAGAAGTCTACTCGAGACAAGAGAAGTCTACTCGGTTGACAAGTTATATGATATAAATGGGAGAAATGTCTCTCTGAGTCACTTATAAGTTATGTAAAGTTAATGTCTTTAAGAAGTCTACTCGAGACAAGAGAAGTCTATTTTGTAAAATAGATAAACATAGATAATTTAGGAATTTGATACAAAACATTCAATGCAATTCAACATTACATAGAAAATAACCCTCTAAACAAACAAACATTTAAGGATCACTAGTTATAAATCTTAAAACTGGCATAAGAAATTACTAGTAAACTAAAATCTCTGAAAATTATGTATGCAACTGAAGTCTGCTTGAGAAGTCTGCTCAAGATCGAGATGTCTACTCGAGAAGTCTGCTCGAGATCGAGAAGTCTACTCGAAAAGTCTACATTCAGATCTGCAGAAAAAATCAACAAAATTCAGCTCTGTAACAATAACGAAAAATTTAGATCTAGAACAAAATCTAATAAATTTATACAACAATAAACTCAGATCTACAAATATAAACTTTGATCTACAACAATAAGCTCAAATCTAAACTAATAAGCTCGGATCTATAATAATAATCTACTATATTTATAACATTCAGATCTGTACAAAAGACAACAAAATTCAGCTTTGCAATAATAACAAAAAATTAACAAAATCTACAAAATTTATACAACAATAAACTCATGTCTACAAAAATAAACTTAGATCTACAACAATAAGCTCAAATCTATAATAATAAGCTCAGATTTGCAATATGAACACAAAGCAAACAAAAAGAGGAACACAAAAGCTCAGATTTGCTTACCACTACCATAACCTGCAAGTGAGAGGAGGTTGAATGCAAGATAGAGAGGATGGAGAGGATATTGATAGCAAGAGAGGAAGGAGAAGAAATTCATGGCCAGAGAAAAGGGGGAAGAGAGAGAGGCGGTTTTTTAGATAGAGAGAGACTTTATTGTTAATATAATTAGGTTAAACTCTCCTTATATATGTAAAAAAAATTCGTGTAAGTAGACTTCTCCAAGAAGTCTACTCGAGAAGTCTACTCGAGAAACCGAGAAGTTTACTCGAGAAGTTTTTAGTATTGATTTTTATCATAATTTATCTATGATGATTTAAATTGATTATTTTCTGTCAAATTTTATTTTTAATAGGTGTAAAAAAATATATATTTGTTGTTATGTATCTAATTTTTTTTATCAAATTATCTTTTATGCTTTTTAAAATTAATTGTAAACATATTATTAAAGAGTAGACTTCTTGGAGACTTTTCTAGGATAAAATAGTAATTGAGGTTGGCATTTTTTTGTTTGGTCATAAGGGTTAAAATTATAATTTGACTACTCCTGTGAGTTATTTTTGTCAAACATGCAATAGAGGGTCTAGTTTTGCATTTCAACTCAAGTTTTGAGTCATATTCAGCAATTCTCCCTATCTATCCTCTACTATATGATTTTGAGCTTTAAATCCCGAAAACAATTTTCCATAAAAAAAATTTCAAAGATCTAAAAGATTCACAATCACAGATCACAATCAAAGGATTCGAATTTCAGATCAGTCTTAGCCATTGATACTTTTGTTTATACACTATTTTTCTTATCTTTTTATTAACTATCGTTTTGTCTCACTAAAGTTAATATGGTCAAGTTTTTTATGAAAAATGTTATAGAAGGAAATTTTAGAGTATTAATGTATATTATAAACAAAAACTTAGATTAAGTGTATCTGATAGAATTTTTCTTAATTATAAAATATATTTTAATATATTTTTAATATATTATATTATTTTTATTAAAATATTATATATACTATTATTAATTACCATATATATATATCTATTCAAATTTTACAAATTTTACAAATTAACTTATTCATTTATTTTTCAAAC